TGGTGGTGGTGGTGGTGGTAGTTGCGGTGGTGATGGTGGGGGTGGTGGTTGCGGTGGTGATGGTGGTGATGGTGGTGGTGGTGGCTGTTAGGGTTGATAAGAATACCCTGGACCTATGGCAATCAAAACCTTTGGATCATAGTCTTTACAAGTTAACAAAAAAATGTATTCTATCATTATACCAGACTAATACTGAGCGAGAGGCATAATATTTCGTATTCTTTACTGAGAAATTAACGGCCTGGATTGCCAAGTGTGTATACCGTTCAACGAAATTTTTTCTCTGTCTCCTCGCAAGTACATGCAATCAGATTTTCTGAAGTCGATAATCCTACGCCGTTAATAAACTACACGGTATTAGGATATTCGTTCACTCACTGAGACCCTTCTCTACTTGGTATTTTCAGTTCAAGTTGAATGTTTTAGGCATCAGCTATAGGGCAGTTTAGGTATCTGGATCTACTATATATTTAAAATATAAAACCAAATATGAACAAGAGCTAAAAGTACGCTAGAAATCGGTTCTTTACAGGAAGTTGAACGGACAAACAGGAATTTTTAAGTAACGAAGAGGAACGGTTCTCCTTGAGTGATATCTCTTCAGTGATTTTCCAATTGACGTCAACATTGTTTAAAAATAACTTTAAAAAGTGCCACTTTTAATTGACAGAGACCAATATATTCTCTTCAACATTAATAAGTTTCCAAATGCATGGAATAGTAACGCAAATAAGAATTATAGCTATAGTTTGCGGAAGATTCGTAGAAAACTGGCTATGATATAGCTAAACAGTTTTTCATCTGAGAGCCATGCCTTAATGATGCCGAGTTGAATCGAGCTCTACAGGTGCTGACACACGGTGCAACATTGCATACAACATTGTACGCAACAGGACTGTTGCAGCGTGTGTCTACCCCAAACTTGTTGCACGCAACGTTGCATGCAACAAATGAGAAGTTGAATCGCTCTCTACTTTTGCAACATTGCGTACAACAAATTTCATCATGTGAACATGGCTGCAACATTGCGTGCAACATTTTGAAATTTCGAACCCATCAACTTCACAAGCGTTGCTGACACAAGCGATGTTGCGTGATTTTATTGTAACGTGTGTCACCCCGGTTCAGATTTGTTGCGTGCAATATTGCGTGCAATGTTGCACCGTGTATCAGCACTTTAACAGAATGAAAACAAATTTGCCGTTTTGTTTCCTATTTAAAAGAAAAGCATTTTAGTTTCATCTGACTTAGTTAGATTTGGAAATCAATCAGTAAGTTTTTGTTTCAAGGTTTCTTGAAAAAAAATTACACTCACTTGTGCATGAATCGTTTGTCTATGACATGTTTCAATGAACCTCATTTAAGTTTAAGCGATGATGCCCGTAGCCACCCGTACAGAATGTATTACCAATGAGATCTGCTTTCTAACCTCGTCCCAGTCCCCTGTCTCCAGCGCATTGTAAGCTGCATGAGTAACACCAGGAAACGAAGCCTGCACGTCCTCGATATTTCTGAAACCAAAATTAAAGGCCACGTGACGATCATATGGTTTCCCTAGCAACCCTTCGGGGGCGATGAATGCCTTTTCTACTTGGACCATTTGGTCATTGATCATGCGTAGTTGAAGGGAATTGAACCCGGAAGCCTTTGATTTTTTTTCTTCAAACGCCTTGGCATTTTGAACAAACTTTTCAACTGCGTCTTGCAAATATTTCATATGCTCCTCTCGTATATTATGACTTTCCATCAAGTTTGATTGATCAAGGATATTGTAGCAGATATTCAACATCTTGGCGAAGTCATAAACTTTGTAGGGAATCAAAGGAGAGTCAGCCAAATCAAGGATCAAACCTCCGCTGAACTGGGCCATCGCTTTGTGGACTTGAAATCTTGGATCGACAAATTTCTGCATCCAGTAAAACGTATCCTCGGTCGTGTGATATACAGGGTACATATACGATTCATTTTTGTAGCCGTACCAATATCCATAGTCACTGGAGGGAATGCCGAGGTAATCGTAAAACATGACGTAATCACTGGACCGGAAGTTATTGTAGAGCTGGGGATCTCCGGGAATGAATTGTGAAGGATTTTTCTGCAGCCACGTGGCAAACATAGTGGTATCAGGATTAGTAGGGTCCTTGATTCTTTTCGCCCATTTATGAGTAATACTCTTGAATAGGGGGCTTGCGCGTGCTCGAAGTACGAAATTACCGCTGACCGCGATATCGAGGTTAACATAAGCTATGGTTCGTTCTTGGATAATCTTAGAGTTTTCTTCAACCCATTCAGCGGAGCCAAAAAGACCCCATTCCTCTCCTCCCCAGCTACAAATCTTTATCGTTCTTCTTGGTCTCCAACCCGACTTTATAAGACTTCCAAGTACTTGAGCTATTTCGTTCGTTGTCGTTGTTCCACTTAAAGCATCGACTGCCCCGAACACCCAAGAGTCTCTATGGTTACCGACGATAACGTAACGGTCTGGCTCCTCGCTTCCACGTATGGTGCCTATCACGTTGTAAATAGGAGTCATTGTTACTTGGGTATTGACCTGTAGCTTGACCTTTGATCCAGAGGTTTGAAATCCTGGTCCAATTCTGAGAGTCATATTGAATCCAGGAATTTGCCATGTGGACGGTGCTTCGTCTCCTGTGGAAAATATTACAAAATATTTTAAAACTAAAAATATTATCAGTGCTATGCAGCTTGCATAGAAGATTCTCGGAGAGTCTTGGTTATTCGATTCAGAAAAGACGGCTAGGCTGAAAAGCAAGTCAGAGGTTATGAATAAAATCGACGGGGCTCACTAGTTTTCTTTAGAAAATCGGCTTATGGTTTCGAAAACTGATTCCCAAATTCAGCTACAATTAAGTGCAGCGGACTAAGCTCATTTCTTGAAGGGTAAGAAAATAATGGTAGTACCAAAGCTTTGTTTTTATTCAATGTAGAACTTTTTAAATATTTTTACTAAAATGCCTTTCCCTGAAAACCTTGATCTAATAGGACGTTTGCATGATGGCGTCATTGGCCTTTACTACCGACTCCCTTGCGCACTTTCTTTTGTTCAGTTAATTAGCACCATTTGTCTTACTATTCTCATGAGGGAATACAAATTTAAATAAGAAAGAAAATTCGCGAAGCATTATGGTAGCGGGAGTCAAATGACGCCATCATGAAAACGTCGACCAATTTTTGTGTTTGATGCAAATGGAAAATGAAGCAGCAGCCATGTTTGTTTTCCTTGACAATTTGGCGCCTGCGCACGAGTTTTTCAGCCCTGTCTTCAGATGATCATAAAATCATTGTAAGAATACTAGATTAGCTTGACCTTTTAATTTTCGTAGAAGATCTTTGGCTTGACCATAGGATATTGGCTGCGCTGGTATATTGAGCATTTGGCTCTCGTTGTACGGTTTTCTAAAGATTCCCTTGGTTGCCGGCAGTCCAGGAGTTAGTTTCTCGCCACTGTACGGGACCCTGAATGAAGACCATGGTTGAACAGCATCTTTCGACAGCCATTTGCCGTTAGGGTAGGTCTTGTCTTCTGAGGTACCATCAGGGGCAGAATAACTTGGATTTGGAAACGATATAAATCCAATGGCACCTTTCTTTGATGCAAGACGGATCTACGAAATAAGAATACAAACATAGATATTAGCTAGCAACGGCGGTGGTGTACATGCATCTATCGCCTGCCATTGCGCACGATGGCTGTGTGGGTTCTATCCTTGCATAGAGGCTTTGCAACATCACGGCAGCCATTGCACTTTTCAACCGCACTGTTCAACTGCTTCAAACTATCAGTGAAATTGATATCTTTTATCAGTTACCATTTCAACTCCTAGCCTTACCGATGGTGCTCTTGCCAGTACAATCTTGCCTTCAACCGAAATGTTCCTCCTTTCGAGCTCTTCATAGTCGGTCTCCCCTCCATAATTAACGTACACCAAATCTCCTTCGACTGTCTTGTTTGGAGAATAACCAACAAATGGATAGAAATCTACTGTATCGTTTTTCCTTGGGTCTGGAAAGAGCTGGAAATGAAAACTTTTAGCCATCAATTATAATAAAGAGGGTGACACTAAAGATGATAGTTTTCGCTTGCGACTTTAGCCTGCTTGTGCGAAAGGTGGATAGCGCTATCCCACGGACAGATCTTATCCAGTGGATTAATATATTGGATAATAGCATCGAATTATCCACTGGATAAGGATTTATCCATCGGATGGCGCGGTATCCAACTTTCGTACTACCGGCCGGGCCCAGACTCGTGACATGAACAGCATTAATTCAGCGATCGAAATGCGAGCTGTAAATTATCGGATGCGCATGTTTGTGCAAATTAGCGGGACAATTACGAATGCGCACAACAACAACCACAAAAAAGGTATTTTGTAGTGTTAGTTCTGCAGTGTACGCAAGTGCTGGCTCAGAACATGGATCAAAAAGGTTAAAAAAGCTTCAAAAGGTTTTTTTATGACCCATGCTCAGAATATTTAAATACTTTTTTCCTTCTTGAAATTAAAGAATCCGACTCACAGGTGTCGTAAGCCTGCATGCAGTCGGACTTTTCTCTCGTATAGTCCGTATCTTGGATTTAACAGTCATTTTGGCGGGCTGCAGGCAGGCTAAGTAAGGTGTCGCGTCGATGGTTGTTACCTACATGGAAATTTTCGAGCATGCGCTTTTATTATTTTGTTAAGTAACGGAAACAAAACATCACCTTTATTTTTCCTTCTATTGTGTACTCAACGGTACCATTGTTCTCTATTGTGATCTTATTGGGTTGGTCTGCCTGTGGTTTCGATAGGAGTACTTCATACTCAGGCATTTCGACTTCCAGTCCATATTCCCGCCATTTCTTGGCCAGATATTCCGCTAGTTCCTTCTGTCGGGTCGAGCCGGCCAAGTGAACGCGTGATGAGAAGAACCTAATGATCCAACAAAGCCAGTCATCAGCTAACGGATATTGAGTAGATTCTACATGATTATGAAAGAGCAGGGCACATTGCACCATTATGGAACAGAATAGACCAGTTTCGAGTTTCAAATTAACGCTGTGTTCCTTGATTACAGACTCATTTACACAGGGCTAGCCTTGATTTTGTGCAGAATATTCACGTGTTCCAGTGAAGGTCCATGAAACTTCAAAGTCTTTGTATTGTTGAAGTTGTGAATTCTCAGTTTACTTTACCGTTGGTATATGTGAATATTTAGACACTGATACGAGGGTAGTCCTGTGTAAATGAGTCTGTAATCAGGGAACACAGCGGTAATTTGGAATTCGAAACTAGTCTATCAACAGAATTGACTGACTAACAGGTCACGCGACACTACCCTTTAAATCGAGTAGTTGTGTCAAAATGAACACCTGAAATGAAAAAAATCACTTCAGTAGTAGTAAGAAGGCAAAGTTTAAGCTTCTGATGTCAACTATTGTAGAAATGGCATTGAATTCAATCTAAATCTAATATTTTATAAGGATTTGTATGGTACTATCGCTGTGTTTCTGAATCAAAACCTTGAAACAGAACTCCGAATGTTTTCCTCACATTTATACGAAAGGGTCTCAATTCACAGGAATGAAAATATTATTAGTTTATCTACGTAAACTAAAAGTCTAAATAAATTGTTAAGTTTGTGTTCCTCGATAGATTAATACGAAACTCTACTGCGAATTATGAGGTTCTTTCCCCATACTGCTGTACCATGTGGGCAGCGGTATATACATCAGTGAAGCCGACGTAAGGACCGCCATTTTGAATTCTGACTAAATTGGATTCGTAGGGTTTCTTAATCAAACACGTATGTTATAAAATCGTAATCAGATGTTAAAAAGGAAAAGAAACAATGTAAACTGATAAACTTTGGATATCTGATGACCTCGATATTTCCGCCCTTGCGGCTAGTAGGTTTGTTATCGTCAAAATATTTCAAATGGAATTTTTGACATAAAAGAAAGATGAATCGTTTAAATCATCAACAGTAATGACAAAAGGGTAAATTATACACCGTGAAAAGATGAAAAAACTACTCCGACGAAGTTCTACTCCGACGAAGGACTAGCGTCCGAAACGTCAGTAAGTTTTTTCATCTTTTCACGGTGTATAATTTACCTTTTTATTATCATTACTGTTTCATTAGAAACACCGACGCACCTCACACTGTAGTTATCTCTTCTTTCTATTATCAACAGATGTTCCCAAGTTATGAAAATGTAAATTTATGGAATGATCCGCCTCGTATTCTCATCAAATATTTCTTAGTCACGATCAGTTGTGGTTCAGGCAAATCTGAAAACTTTATGAATTTTGGCCGCTTTTTAAATATATATGTATGTTTTTCCACGTTTCTGAACCTTACAGATCAAATGCTTTCGACCGCAATGTGTAAATAGTTTCCAGCTATGATGTTTAACGCGGGCCGCTTTTAGTGTTCTATTAGCTATAGTCTACTGAAGATTCGTCGCTTTTTGGCCTAATTACAATGCTGCGCCTAAAAATATACGCAGTTCGTCATAACAACTTTATCTTCGTTATCAAGTTAACAGGGACCAGACGCCTACGGTAACGGTTATTTTTTTCCGTCAGTTAAAAGAGATGTGTACATATATACCTTCTCTATCGACTGACTTTATAGCTGATATTTATGTCATTAACGTTGTCCACCGAAAAAAATACATTTACACATTTGGACATTTAGACTAAAAGATATATCACGTGTTTCATTATGTATTCCTTGATAGTATTTCTTTTAGTCTAAATGTGTAAATGTGTAAATGTGTAAATGTCTTTTATCGGTAGACAACGTTAATGACATTGACTGCAGGGGTGGATCCAGGGTTTGGACATGAGTAGTTTACTCTGAATTTATACCCAACCCACCATACCCCTATTAGTTATAAACTGCCTAAAAGGATACATCTAGCATAGCATGCTGTCTGCAGTCAAGATCCTTGTACAGATTTATCTCAGTTGAAGAATCTAGC